TCCTCCTCCTCCTCCTCCTCCTCCTCCTCCTCCTCCTCCTCCTCCTCCTCCTCCTCCTCCTCCTCCTCCTTCCTGTCTCGTCCCTCAACTTCCCTGCAGGTAACATGGATGAGGTCAGACTCTGGAGCCTCGCACGTGACCCTCTCGTCTTGTCCACCTCCCTCTTCGATACCGTCGCTGTCAGCAGTGCGAAGGTTGTCAGACGTGCAGCAGCTGGAGGAGAGGGAGAGAGGAGAGGAGTTGAAGGATCAAGGACAGGAGGAACTGTGAGTGGTGCAGGAGGGGCAGGGGCAGGGGAAGGAGCAGCAGGAGGAGAAGCAGGAGAAGGAGCAGGAGCAGGAAGAGGGAGATTATATTTGTGACAGGACATGTCAGGGCTTGATCGGATACTGGAACTTCAACAACGCGCTGGAGGATCACGCATGCATAGAGAGTTTGACCTACATAAGAGATGAGGTGACGGGACAACGAAGTGCCCTCCTCCACGGGGCCAAGGTGCTTGCAGCTTCCTGCTCCTGCTCCTGCTCCTGCTCCTGCTCCTGCTTCATCACCGTTTCGCCCGCTCACTTCCGGAATGCTACCCTTTCCTCCTCCTCCTCTCTACCATCATCATCACCACCACCACCACCACCACCTCCTCCTCCTCCTCATCATCATCATCATCATCATTCTCCCGCTCATCATCTTGCTCGTCCGACTCGTCCTGCTCCTCACTCCCTTCTTGTCTCTCTCTGACTTCCTCCTCCAGCTCTCCTCCTCCACCATCCCTATCGACAGAGACCCCAGCGTCAACGTCGCACTCACGAGCGGATCTGTCGGGCAGCAGGCAGCGACCTCGCTGTCTCCTCTGCCGTTGGGAGGAGGGGAAGGCATCGTCGTCTACTTCGGGGGGGAGCTGCGCATGGCGGCTGCGGTGAGCTGCATGGAGGATGATGGGGAGAGGAGCTGATGTGAGACGACAGGCTGCTGATGAAAACCCGACGGACTTGATCTTCTTCCTCCTTGAAGTCAACAACAACTTGAGGTCCTCCCCTCGTCCCGTTCTTCTCTCCTCCTCGCCTCCTCCCTCTACTTCCCTCCTCCCTCCCTTCTCCTCTCTACTTTCATCCTCCCCTCCTTGTCTTCCTTCCCTCTCCCTCCTTCTCTCTCAAACCTCCTGGTCCTCCTCCTTGTCCGTGGGCCTTCCCCCTCCTCCTCTTCCTCGCCCCTCACGTTCTGCTCAGCTCCCTCCCGACGGGCGTTGTCGGTCAGGGACGAGGAGGAGGCAACCAGGTCGAGCTCAACGTCACTTGGCAGCCGCTCCTGCGAGACGCTGGGAAGGTGATGAGAGGAGGAAGTGGCGATCAAGACAGCAGAGGGGCAGGGGCACGGGCAGGGGGAGGAGCAGGGGGAGGAACAGGAGCAGGATGCAGCGGGCCAGAGGGAGGGAGGAGGGAGTGACGAGCGAGAGCAGGTCCTGCCCATGTGCCTTGTGCTGAGAGGGGAACGGAGGAACCCATCCTATCCTTTCTTCCGACAGCAGCTCACAGAGACTCGCCGCTGCTTCACCATCTTCGTCCCTCCCTGCTCCCTCCAAGTGGGGGCTGGTGAAGGCCTGAGGAGCCTCGGTGACGTGGCAGGGGAGGTCGCGGCCGTCGGGTTGACTTGCAAGGCAGGCGCTCGATTTCACGTTCCATGGCGAACCTTGTTTGTGCTCAACAACAAGCTGAACTCTACAGGTTGACTCGCTGCTCTTTCGTCTTAATGCCCCTCCTCTCTCTCCCTTCTCCTTCCCTTCTATCCCCGCTTCTCCTCTCTCTCCTTCCCTCCTTCCCTGCTACCCTTTCTTCCATTTCCCTGCCATCTCCTCCTCATCCTCCCCCACCATCCTGTATCTCTTCCTCCTCCCCCTATCCCCCATCCTTCCCTCATCGTTCGATCGTGCCAGGTGGCGTTCAGACGGGTCAAGTTCTCAACTTCGGCAAGACGTTCACAATCGGTAATAACCTCCTGCGCTACCTCCTCCCCTGCCTTGCTGCTCCTGCTCCTCCTTTCTCCCGCTCTTCCTCCTTCCTCTCGCTCACTTCCTGTCAGTTGCCGATCAAGCGCTAGAGGACGCCATCAGCGTCATGGGAACATCGTGGGACGACTTCATCAACTGCAACGTCAAGGCCGTCAATACGCTCCTCATCAAGAACTCGCTATCGTGTCCCTCCCTCGACTACCCTCAGGTCAGCGCTCTCCCTCCCTCCCTTCTCCCCTCCCTTCCTCTGCCTCACGCTGCCGCCAGACCTGTCATGCTCTCCCACTCCTCAAGGCCGGCGAGGTCGTCGTCGACGTGCAGTACACGGACGTCGAGAGGTGGAGGGAGATGCTCATGGCGACGTGAGGACTGACGAGCATGCAGGCACGCGGGCAAGGCGGAGGTGCAGGCTTGCTTCATCTCTCGCTTCCACTCCTCCTGCTTGTAGATATGTAGATGCTACTCCTGTACAGTAAACTTCCAGGCCCGTCAGCCATGCTGGGTATGGTGAAGTAGAGGGGAGAGGGAAGTAGAGAGCAGAGAGGAGAGGAGAGGAGAGGAGAGGAGAGGAGAGGAGAGGAGAGGAGAGGAGAGGAGAGGAGATCGGAGGAGGAAGCCCTGTTTCCTGCCTGTTTCAGGGATACAGAAACGTGGGAGGAGGGGGCGGAACTAGGATCTGCTTCCGCCCCTTTTAATAACTACTGAGGCAGGGACGGAAAAGACGGGAGTTGTGAAGGGGGGGGAGGAGAGGAGAGGAGAGGAGAGGAGAGGAGAGGAGAGGAGAGGAGAGGAGAGGAGAGGAGAGGAGAGGAAGGAGAGGAGAGGAGAGGTAAACAGAGAGGCTCTTGTCGTTGGCGTCGATGCTCACTGTTCAACAAGCGCTGTCCTTTATACTTGTGAGTCTTCATTCTCCTTGTTCCGCATGACACCATGACAAGGTCGGAGCCGTCTGGGGCTGCACGAATCCCCTGCTCAAGAGAGGCAGCCAAGGCATCCAAGACATCCCGAAGCATAAGACAGCATGGCGACAGTCGCTGAACGTATTACTTCTCTCTCCCTCCCCTCCCCCATTCAGCTCCCCTCCTGCTTCCCTCCCCCCCTGCTCCTCTCTCCCCTCGCTCTCCCTTCCCTTCTCCCTTCTCCCTTCTCCCTTCTCTTTCTCTCTCTCCATCCTGCCCTGGCTCCCTCCCTCCCTCCTCCTCCCCTCTCTGCTCACCATCACCTTCTCGCAGGAGCTCATCTTCCTCATCACGCGTCCGGCATGGCTGATCCCCTTCCTGCTCAACCAGTGCGGGTCCCTCCTCTACTACCTGACGTTGGGGTCCGCAGGTGCCAGCGCTGCCTCCTGGTCTGCCACTGACGCGAGCATGGCAGATGTTTCCATGGCGGTTCCGATAGCCAACAGCCTGACCTTCATGTGGACATGGGTAAGTGCGAGCAGCGGCGGGGGAGGAGGAGGTCTGAAGCAAGCGTGCTGCAGCTGACGGGAGTGTTGCTGGGGGAGGAGAAGGTGTGTAATACGCGATTGCAAGTGCGAGGAGCTGTTATTCATATTTATAAGTCTTGATCGCTACAGGCGAACGCGATCACTCTAGTCGGGGCCCTCGTGGTTGTCCTTGGAGTCGCTCTTTGCGTTTACAGCAAGCTCGAGCAACAACAAGCTCTCTAGCTGCTCGCTATGATTGCGCATGCGCGTCAGTGCAAACCGAGGCTGCACCGTCATCATCATGATCGTCGTCGTCGTCGTCGTCGTCGTCATTATGAACAAGCCAACATCTAAAGGAATGATGACGATACGGAAAAACTTGCAGCTGTTAACAAAGTCTTCTAGTTTGCTGTGTCGACAATCTCCGCGCAGAAGCGCTGGGGGAGCCAGCCAATCTTGCCCTGTCGGAGAGTCATGGAAGAGCAGAGGAGCAGAGTGTCAATCGGCACGCAAAACTTACTTTCTTCCTGCCCAGCCACCACCCGCGATCCTTGACGAGGATCTGAAGGAGAGGAGAGAGATGTGAGCGTAGAGGAGGATAGGAGAATGTGATTGCAGGAATGCAGCCCGGGGGGGATGGGGACGATTCGGAAGGACGAGGAGAGAGGGAGAGCAGAGGAGCAGGATGCGGCAAACCTCAACAATGTCGTTGCATTGAACACACAAGGATGACTTGCACAGACTTTGATCAACTGGCTCTTCACGTTCCTGCAAAGCACATGAGGGGCGAGGAGGAGGAGAGAAGAGGGAGCGAGAGCAGAGGGAGGAGGGCGTGCGACCTCAGGCTCGTAGTCGAAGAGGATGACAGCCTCGCAGATAGCTGGCTCAGCACTGAACTTGCTCGAATTCTCCTCCTCCTCCTCCTCCTCCTCCTCGTGGTAGTTCAGCATCTGCAGGTGCCTCACGCTGTCCTGCTTGAGCTGCAGCGAGGCCTTGAGCAGCCCTGCAATGTGATCGCCTGCAGAGGATGAGACCGTGAGAGTCCAGCTGAGAGCTCACCTCGCATCTTGAGACCATCGCAGGTGCTCTCGACCACGGCTTGAAGTCCTCCGTCCTCTCCTTCGGGAGGGAGGATGCCGGAGAGAGGATGGTGTACCTTCTTGAGGTGCTCGGGGAACTTGGTCACGTTGCTGAAGAACAGCTGGACTGTGAAGTTGGAAGCGACCTTCTCGTGCTTCTTGTCCCGGGTGATGGCGCCATCGAGGTCGTTCTTGAGCAGGCACACGAAGCAAGACTCGAAGGAGGTATGGATAGAGAAGTAGCATAGCTTCTCCTCGCTCTCTCCAAACGTCGTCTGCTTCCTGTACGAGATCGTGAACTTCACATCCCCCGCCACCGCCAGGTCGTTCGTCTCGAGCGTCACGTGCGAGCGCATCGGGTCGACGCTGCAAGTGAAGGTCTTCTTCAGGGGGCTGTTCTCAACCTCCACAGTCACCGTGGTCGCCGCGTAGGGAGGAGACACCACAACGATTCGCTGCAGCACGTACGCGGCCAGCCTGCGGGTCTTGTTGAGGTTCTGGGAGAAGTAGTGGACGTAACGGATCTGACTTCTGATAGTCACTCCCTTCCCGTCCAGCGTCCGCTGAGCTGCATAGAAGGACAGCGCCTCCTCTGCTGTGTTGCAAATGCCGAGGTGGAGGAGGAGCGAGCATACCATGCAGCCCGTCCTCCCCTTCCCCGCCTTGCAGTGGATGGCTACCACGTGCTTGGGATGCGCCTCCACCCAGTCGCTGGCGTTGCAGCACATGATCCGCATGAGCTCGAAAGGAGGAGCGTTGTGGTCGTCGAACGGATAGCATTCCACCCGGTTGTGAAACTTCGCGGGAGCATAGCTCCTCTCCGAGCAGAGGTTGTAGATCTGCAGCAGGAGGTCAGGAGGGGAAGGAATCGTCAGGATCAGGATGAGAGATGGTATAAGGATGGTGTGAATGAAGTGTTGGTATGGTTGACGTCAGTCAGTCAGTCAGTCAGTCAGTCAGTCAGTTAGTCAGTCAGTCAGTCAGTCAGTCAGTCAGTCAGTCAGTCAGTCAGTCAGTCAGTCAGTCAGACTGTCTGTCAGTAACTCATTTTATCGGAGTCAATCAATGTGTTCGTTTGTTTGATCACGTTGAGCAAGGCCCACCTTGTACATGTCCGGGTGATAGGTCTCGAAGAACCTGTAGACCTCAGAGAACGGGTTGCGATAGACTCCTTCCATCCCCTCCGAAGGATAGCCCATGGCGATGATACTGGTGGTAACGTATGAAAGGTCCAGATCAAAACCATCCTGACGCAAGGCTCAATCATGGGGCAAACAGCAGCAGACTAAGTTGAGAACAGAGATGAACAGAGGAGAGGAGAGGAGGGGAAGAGAAGGGAGAGGAGGAGGAGACGAGAGGACAACAGAAGATGAGGAAGGCAACTGACCTGGATGTACCTCTTCTTGTTCCCCGACACCACTCGCTTTACCAGGTTCGTGGGGTCCGTCAGAGATTTCATTCTCCGCATCCGCCCCCCTTGCGATTTCCTCGTCGAGTCAGCATCCCCATCATCGCCCTCCAGCCCGCCCTCGCTCCTCCTGGACTCCTCACGATCGAAGATCCCGATCATCTGCTTGAACATCATCACATTTCTCTGAATCGCGACAACCCAGTCATTCGCGGTCGACTCGTCCCCGGCGTCGAGCACGTAGATCCTTGGCTTCCCGTCGTTCATGAACACGTTGGTGGCGATCTCGAACTGCCCTGGGCGTCCTTTGGCTGCGTTCAGACTGACCGACTTCACGTTGCTGAAGAAGATCTCTCCCTGCATCTGATTTTTCGACCCGTCGATGTAATATCGCAGGCAAGAGTCCTCCATTTCAAAGAATCGACTTTTCCACAACTGAAAGGGAGTTCAGATACCAGAACAGAAGGCGGGGAGCAAGACCTTGGCAGTCCCCAGGATCCCGTTGGGGTTCTGTTTCTTCAGCATCCCGCTCATGTAGACGAATTCGCATGGGTTGTACCCAACATCGCTGTCCGCGCTTTCCATCGAGCCCATCGAATCTGCAGTATGACTCGAGTTACAGCAAGAAATAAACGCCCCACTGCATCACGGAGGTTGAACCTGAGTTTGCACTGTCCCGCTGAGCGCAAGGAACGAAGTCGATGTCGTCGAGGGCTCCGTTTCTTCTTGGGAGCATCATAGGAAAGGTCGTCGACCGGTTAACCTTGGGCTCTCCTGCCATGTCGCCCAGGGCTGGCGGCGTATCTAGTAGTCTCCTGGTCGTTGTTTGCGCTCCTTCGCTCACACTAGCTGAGCTCTCAGTCAAGCTCGGCGGCATGTCGAGCTGCCTTCTACTTGTCCTGCTCGCCTCTTCCGACGAAGTACACATCCCGCCAACTCCGAGGTTCAAGATCTGACTACTGTCGCAGCGAGTTTTCCCTCTTGCTCGTGTCACTGATGCCAAGTGCAGGAGGAGAGGAGGAGGACGATGGGCAGAGATGAAACGAGGGGGATCAGGGCGGGGAAGGATGATGTGACGGCGCGGGCATGAGCTGATTGGCGCTGGCTATGGAAAAGCCATGTCGGGTTGACCAGCGGCAAATATATATATTTAAAACGTTTTGGAGGCGTTTTGGAGGCGTTTTGGTACCAGTAAAACTTAAAATGAATTTATTTCCCACATTTCAGTACAAACATAACATATATTGTTTTTTAACAAAGTGTCAAGATATGCTGAAGCGACTTCACATGGATAATATTTCAAATATCTTCTGTACAATTTCAAATATACAGGAAAATTTACAGTGTTGCCTTTTAACTGGCAGCCCCGGGCCGGGCGGCCGGGCCCCGGCGCCGCTGTGATCGGACCGGTTGAATCATTGACTCAGTTCAAGTTTACTCAAAGTTAACGGTTAAAACTTGAATCAGTACGAGGACACTGAATCCGAGGAGAGACGAGGAGGCTTGACTCAGTGACCCTGCCACACTGTCGCACAGGCCAAACGGCGAGAAGAGAAAAGACAGCGAGCCGCCTCGGAACCACCAGTGGGCCCAACTTGAACCCAATGATGGAACTTCCGAGTTCCGAACGTATGCCAGCCGTGCCAGTCAGATAGCGCCGAGTTAACAAAAACTCTCCTGTAAACCAAGACGACTTACGTGTTTTGCGAGGCGGCATGTAGTGACGTGTGGACGAAGAGGGGCCTTTCCTAGCCGTCTTGCTAAGGAGTCCTCTCATGTCTGGATGCTTGGGTTTCACATGCCAGGCTAGCATACAGTCTATCTCTCATGTGCTCCTCAATTCTGGATTTGTGTGCATTAAACTCGGTCTTGAGCAAAAACTGTCTTGTTACAACTAAGGTCGATGTGATATCTGCGTGACTTTGGACTAGTACAAGTCTAACAAACTTGTATTCCGTCGGTTATGAGCCTCGATTACATGCTCAATCATGTAAGTTGATCTTATATTTGGTTAGTTGAATTGTTTACTGGAGTTTTTTCTTTCTTGGTATTGTTTTCCCGTTCAGGCTGTTGAAAATTCATGCAAATTCTATCAAGCTGTACACATTCGGATGACTCCTCTCTTCAATCAGGCTCTCTTTCTAGCCGCAAGCCTTCAAGTTGTTTAGGCCTATCTCAGCCTCAATTTGTTTGATTGATCTTCGAATAGGAAAAACAAGCCTTTCCCAGCCAGATTGGTTGGTCGAATATCTGCTTAACCGTGTGGAAACGCACTTGAAGCTGATTCGATTCTTATTTTTCTTGATCTTTGAGTAGGATCAACTTGATGGAACTACCAGGAGATCTGGCGGAAGTTTTCATGTCATGGAGCTAGGCTGTGGCATGCATAACTGGAGCTACTTCTGGATCGGCGAACAAGGTACAACTGCACAACAATCTTCGAATGCCTTGAAACGGATGTTCCATCTCGCGGCAGCAATCTCTGGTCACAAGTTCTTTACGGTTCAAAATTTATCTTTTGGTCTTCAAATGCCGGCGGGCACGCTCTCTCTCTCTCTCTCTCTGTTATCTGAACTCCGAAGTTCTCTCCTCAGACTCTCTTATCTTATCCTCCTTCTCTCGTCATTGCATCAGCTCGCCAGGCATCTCCCTTATCTCTGCACTGCCCATCTAATAGCCCTGCATGAAATTCTTCTTCAGAATGGACAATCCTTGAATGGTTATTGCCCACTCAGCATGACTGTGAACTTGACGTTGTATCATCGTATCTTGACTTGGAACTCTGCTGACATTCTCTTCAAGCTTGTTTGTGTGACTTTCTGACGTCCGATGTAACGTACTATTTCAGAAACTCGAGTCGGGGGGAGGATGGAACGTATGCCAGCCGTGCCAGTCAGATAGCGCCGAGTTACTATCACAAAAACTCTCCTGTAAACCAAGACGACTTACGTGTTTTGCGAGGCGGCATGTAGTACGTGTGGACCGGACGAAGAGGGGCCTTTCCTAGCCGTCTTGCTAAGGAGTCCTCTCATGTCTGGATGCTTGGGTTTCACTGGCATGCTAGCATACAGTCTATCTCTCATGTGCTCCTCAATTCTGGATTTGTGTGCATTAAACTCGGTCTTGAGCAAAAACTGTCTTGTTACAACTAAGGTCGATGTGATATCTGCGTGACTTTGGACTAGTACAAGTCTAACAAACTTGTATTCCGTCACCCAATCCTGCCGACTGCTGTCCCCCAAACGTAACTGATACCTTCACTCAACTGATGATCGGCGGAATGTTTCGTGGTCCCGGTCTCGCGGCTGGCCGGGCCGCGTGAGAATCCAACTTGCTTGGCAATCATTGCCGCCAGAGTTGAATGGCGGCGTAAGATGTTTCGTCCATTCACTTGAATGTATTTCGAAGTTGGCATCGCAACCATGGATGATGCGGCTAAGTTCATCGCAACCATGATGCTGCACCGTGCGGCACTTCTGAAAGCTTGCTGAAGTCATTGATTCAAGTTGACTCAGGCTCAGTGAACTTGGAACTTGCCGCTGTCGCCGGGCCTCGCCAACTTCACACAATGATTCAGTCGGACGGTCTCAAAAGAGCCAGTCGGCTCCAGGCCAAACCGTGATCGGAACCGTGAACCGGGGTGCGGAGCGGGGTACCCGGCGTACCGTACCGTGGTCCGACAGTACCGGCAGTACGGCCCGGCCCGGTACAAGCCTTGAAGCGGGCCGCCCGGCCAGGCTCCGAGCCTCGGGCCGGCTCATTGTACTCAAGTTAAGTTAAAATAATTTGTGAGGGGAGGGGGGCAGTCCGGCGGTCGGTATGAGTTCTGCTTCGCTGCAACTTGTGTGGTAAAGAACCGAAGCCGGTTTCGCATCCCTTCAACCTCCTCACCGGATTCAAGAGGTGCGCTTTCCTGCTGGGGGCTCCTTTACAATACTTTTATGATCTTAGAAAGCATTCCATGCCATCCTCGGCCATGACAGCCACCCACCCATATGAGTGCTTCATGACCGGTGGGACCCTGTAGTGCTTTTACTCAAAGTCAAACTAAAAGTGCTTTCTTTGAGGAGCAGGGGTACACGAGGGACTTAAAGGGGGTGGGGGTGAAGGAAGTGAACGTCTACAAGTTGAACGTGACTCTTACGTACCAAAGGCCATGAGGCTGAAGTGAAAGGAGTGGTGTAGTAAAAATAAATTGCTAAGTCGGGACCTTCCAGCCCCTTCCCGTACCTGCACCCTGTGAGTACCCCTACCCCTCCTTTTCCGATATATAACCCATACAAATGTCAGCCCAGTCAAATTCTGGAACCCCACCCCCTCTTTTCTTAAGCATGGCTGGCCCGTCTTCAGTTCGAGGTTAACTTTCGATTGCTGGCCAAGAATGAGAATTCTCTAATTGAGCCACTAATGAAAAGAGGAAGGGTCGAGACCTTAGAGGTCCGAGAGGTTGAGATTCATATCCCTGCAATGGTTGCGATCTCTTGCCCTCGAAGAACCCCTTGAACCGGCTGCCCTCTTGCCCTCCTTGAAAATCCTCTGCCGTCACGCGACCTCCCATCCTACGTCCTCCAGCAGTGGTTGGACACGAAAACCTCCTCGCCCTCCCTGCTGCTTATACCTGCCCTGATCCGTCGTCTCAGACCGATCTTGACAATCAGCCTCACATGAAGCAAGACTCTTTCATGGACATCGAAGTTCAGAACGACTTCGATCTTCTAACTCTCAGCGACGGATCCCTCCCTGATGACATCTCGACTGATGGCTCCGAGCTTTTCGGCTACGCACAAGCGCCTCGATCCCGGAAGGGGAGCATGGACTCCGACGAGATCCTCCTCAACCAGGAGCTTGGATACTACATCGAAGGTCCCTGCAGGGAGAAGCAGCTGAACGCCTTGAGGCACTGCATCGAGCTGCTGAGCAGACCGGTGAAGCCAGAGATCGTATCGGCGACTGGAGGCATTCTATTACTTTAATCGGACAAAAACATGCAGCATAGGGAGGATAGGAAGGCAGTGCTCATTGGAAGACAGGTTCAATTTTCACGACGAGAGGATCTTAGCCCTGTATCGATATCGTACTGTCTTTCTACGTGTATCAATACTCTGTAGATTTAGACTGGATTTTGTTTGCTTTTTTCTGAATTAAAGACAGCATAGCAACAGCAACTGAGCTGCACATGAACAAATAATTCCTACTGCACCTTACCAACCGTTCTGTGTCTTGTTGACATCTGGTGAAGTCATGATAGTAGTTGCTGTGATTGTTCTGAATGAGAATTGCGTGTTGATGATCTAAAGACACTCTCAATCAAATTGAATATTTTGGTGCATAGAGTTTTGATTCTAAGGCATGTCAGGTAACAATGAATACAACAGTGGGCAAGAGCAATCTCAAAGCAACAGACAAAAAATCAACTTGTTGCACTGCATTTCTGTAACAGCATTCAAATTATTTTGGGTTTTGTACATGTGATCAGGATCAAAATCAATCTTTCATTCTGAAACCGACTTCGTAGATGCTACGTTGATCTACTTCGTAGATGGTACGTTGAGGAGTGCAACATAGAACTCAAGTATGCTTTGTATTATCAAAACAAATTGAATAACCTCCCTATCGCAAGGGAAATACTGACAGCAATTGAATTCTGTAGTGGATATAAAACAATGATTGGAATACAATCGAAACCAAAACATAAACAAAATCGGATCAACCGAGCATGATGTTTTGAAGGCAACTGTTCCTCACCTCGTACAGTACAGTAATGCATCCCAGTGACTGTACACATGCACTAAGATTAGATATTCATGGTGTATTGCATGTAAGAGATAGAAACGTTATGTATAAGATGGAAAAGACTAGTAGTACAAAATACAGATACAAGTAGGTCTACTCAAGCTCCGAGACCTCCCTATGTCGAATCAGAGTAATAGAATGCCTCCAGTCGCCGATACGATCTCTGGCTTCACCGGTCTGCTCAGCAGCTCGATGCAGTGCCTCAAGGCGTTCAGCTGCTTCTCCCTGCAGGGACCTTCGATGTAGTATCCAAGCTCCTGGTTGAGGAGGATCTCGTCGGAGTCCATGCTCCCCTTCCGAGAACGAGTCGCGTGTTCGTAGCCGAAAAGCTCGGAGCCATCGGAAGAAATATCATCAGGGAGGGACGCATCGCTGAGTGTGAGAGAGTCGAAGTCGTTCTGAACTTCAATGTCCATAGAGGTGAATTTGGTTTCCTTGACCATGGTTGTGATTCGATGAATTGAAGAGTGGGGCTTCTCAAGGTGTGCAATGCAAGAAGTTTGTTCGAGAGCACTGAGAAGAGAAGGAGGGAGTAGTGATATCAAGAAAGCAGAAGAGGGACTTGTCCGCTATGACAAGAGAGGGTGCAATGCAGGTGTGGGTGGAAACCTCTGAAGGAGCTCGATGTCTACTGGCGAGATTCACTGGGTTTATATGCTGCAGGGAGAAATCTGATTAAAATTAATTGACGGGTGGGGTACTGTGAAAGTACCCGGTTCTATTATAGTGTAAATGAGGGTCCAATGGTTGTCGGTCAAGTTGTCAACATCCACCGAGGGTGGGTGGGCAAAAGTGGGTATAAGGAGTCGCTACGGAATTTTTTTCACCATCCCGACCTCACTCCGAGAACGACAGCAGCGAGAAGAAGGGGTCAAAACGCTATGGGGACACGAAGTCAATAATATCATAGTGTCTCAATTAAAGAATCCAGTTGGTTCACTAGAGTACTTTTAGAGAAGACAAGAAGGAGAACGGCCCTTTACCACGAAGAAGCTCAAGAGGGCAGAGTTATATTCTTGGAAAACATTTGATCCAGTCACAAGGTCATGACGGAAAAACATATTTTGCATGCTCCAAAAAGATCTTTTTCGAGTCGTCTGGTACACTCTATCATCTCACCGAAGTTAAAACGTATTATTGTGATGTTGATTGTTCTTTGTGGTAAAATGAAAACTAATTTGCACCGGTACTTTCGTAGGACCTCAATGGGGTACTCTGTCAGGGTCAAAACTCGGAATGATGGCAAAATCAAATTCTGCTAAAATACCGAAAATAAGAAGAGGCCGGAAGGACTTGACTGGTGCCGTGAACGACGCAGGGTAACGTGATTTCGCTGTCGCAACGATTCTCGCTCACGGAAGGTTGCAAGTCATGTTGTAAACTTTAGTAGATGCTGACGGTCATCCAATATTTTACTACTCTCCAGGAGTGGTTTAACCACAGTCAAATGCTGACCCTGAAGGACCCATGTGTCACCGCATAGCTCCCTTCGCAACAGTGACGGTTGAACCGTCTCCGAGGCCGCCCGGTGAGTACGGCATACATCGAGTCCGGTCAGTCACGCAACCTGGCAAGTTACGGCCGGTCAACGGGCCGAGTCCGGGCCCGGGGGGCACCAGTCCGGTCCGATCTACCGGCGGCGCCGCCGGGTGCCAGTGTGCCACTGCGGCCACCGGCGGCGGCGCGCGACTCGCCGGGCCCGACACGCGGACTTCTGATCGGATCCGATCAGTGCCATGATGGCCCGGATAGCCTCCGAATGTCACAGTGGCAACACCGTGACTCAGCCTGGCAGAGTGCAGTGCAGTGCCGCGGCGCGGCCGGGCCCTGAATCTTCACTGATGACAGCGAGTCACGGGCCTAAGCTCAAGCCTGCCCGGCCCGGCGGCCCCTGAGTGCGCGGCTGGCCTCCGAGCCGCAGCGGATGATCGCGCACGCCGGTTACTAACTGAGTAAAGCGGGGTCAGTGACTACCGTAGTATCATCAGGGCCGATCAGGCTACGGGCCCGGCCCGGGCAGCCTCCGTCGGCGGGCCACAGTCGTGACGATCGGACGGTCCCCGGTGCCACGGTGCCAGGGCACTGAGGATCATTGGGACCGGGTCCGATCAGGCTGAGTCCGACAGTTTCGAGGCCGGGCCGCGCGCTCACCTTCGCGGCTCAGTGTCACAGGCGCCGCAGTTTCAAGTTTTCTTCGGAATCGGAACCCGACTCAAAAGAACTTGACTAGTCCGTCAGATGCTCAGTCTGAGAACTTGAGAGCCTCCGTCTGACCGGACGGCCCGGCGGTGTGACTTGCCGTCCGATCACTGGGCCGGGGCCGCCGGGCGCCGCGGCGGCCCGGGCCGGGCCGCGCCGGATCCAAGAGTCGGACGTTACAGTGAACAAGTTGAAAGTTGAGCCCGGCCCGGCCGGCCAAGGCCCGCCCCGGGCCGCAGAGACTGCACGCCGCCCGGTCACCGCCGTGCCGCCGGGCCCAGCGCCCGGCGGGGCCAGGCCGGGCCCCGCGGCCCCGCGGCCGGCTGCCGCCCGGCCGGGCGAGCCGGCGGTCACCGTGGCACCGGATCGGACTCGGACCGTGACGGTTCGAGTCCACTGCCACCGGCGAGGCTCACTGAGGACTCGGCGCCGGACTCTCAGCCTGACGGTGAGCACCGGAGTCCCAATCGGACCGACAGGCTAACGGCGGGGGCCCGGCCGCCGGGCGGCCCGGCGAGTACTGAGTACGGTATTTGTGTCGCCGCCGACCGCCGGACTGTCCCGCTGCGCGGCCGGGCCGCGGCCCGGCCCCGCTGCCCGGGCATGATCCGGGACGGTGCGAGCCCGGCCGCTGAGCCTCAGGCAGTCACGCGGCCGCTTGAATTGGAAGCGGCGGTCTGACTTGAGGCTGCTCAGGCAACACATGATTGCCAATCATCGGATAGTGACTCACTTTCATCATCTCGCTAAAAAAACGTGGGTCGATAGACACTTATCGGATTGACTTGTTCACATCGCCTGATCTTCCTCACGCGAGGGCACTGGACATCGGATCTCAGCCACCCTCATGACAAGTCGGCTCCTGGATCTCCTTCTGGCCTGGCGCCGCCGTCACCCCGTACCTGCCCGTACGATGGTGTCCTGGGGCCCGGCACTGTGGTGTCCCTAGATGTTCTGATACGTCTGCCCATATACAGTGTTCATTCTCTCCTGCTTTTCTCTTTCCAGTTTGGCCCATCGGTCGGCACATTGTGGGCACTTCTCCACAAAGCTGTTTTCAAGGCTGCGGCAGACACAACATGTCATAGTCGAACCCCAGTCAAGCATCCTGTCAACTCCTCTGGAGCATTTGTTTGGGTTCGCGCTTTTCCTATGAGCAAATCCATGTCAAGATCACGGGTGCGCGTGTAACGAAGTCTCGTTACCTGTGCCCTCGATTGCCGCAGACAGAACACTTCCAATCCGTCCACCCCATCGCCCCCCGGCAAGGATCCTGTCGAGACGTCATGGACCATCCTGTTCGTGCACTTCCCACCTGCGTCCGCTAAGGAGAGCCTCTAAACTCCAACCTAGTGTTGCCTTGAGCAGCCTTCCTGTCCTTGAAAGCTGCCAGATTCCTTAGGGCCACGTCAAGGAGTTTCCATCCATCTCCAGAGCTTGCACTTTCTAGTCCTTGCAAGTTTCTCGCTATATTGTACTCAGGCTCCTTCCCTTCCTCGTTTTCCGCTACTTCTTTGCGCCTGAACAAGTGTGTCTTTCATGTTTTAGTGCTACTCTTTCTTTCCTTTCCTTTCCTTCTTTCCCTTCGATCTATTCCCCAAGTTTCTCACGATTGCTCTCCTCAATTCAATCTATTCTGTCCACCGCTCTCTTCTCACATCATGGTCTGGACTCAAGGAGTCGCATACTCCGATCAAGCTCTCGTGTTCATCCCCACATGCCATCGCGCGCTGCATCTTCTCCCTCCTCCTCTTCGCCTCCTGCTGTCCCCGGCATGGTCATCCACAAGTAAGCGGCTTGGGGGAAAAACGGCAAAATTTTACTCAAGCCCAGACCCGCCTCAGCCACTACCGTAGTACGGGAATCCGATGATGCCGCAATCGGAACTTCCGAACGGGTCAGGGTGCGGCGGACCGGCGGGCCGGGCGCGGCCGACTCGGAGTTCCGAAGTTCCGAATCCGGTGCCGGCCCTCCCGGCGCTGAGACTCAGACGGTCGGTCACGGTCGCCACCCAGCCTGGCCAGTGTGTGACTTCAAGTTCCCGGCACTGCGGCAGTCCCTCGGCTCGGAAGTTCGGACTCTCCACTGCCACGGCGGGTCACCGGGTGAATCTGCCCGTGACGACACTGATATTACGGTAACCGGGGTTCCCGGCTCGGAAGCCAGTCACCGTGATCTGATCAGAAGCCACTACAATAAGCATCATAAAAAACTTTTTCTAAGCAGAGTCCATGAGCAGGAGCAGCCATTGGAACGTTTCCTCTGTTCCCCCTGCCTCACAAGTCACTACTAGTGAGGTGACAGCAAGCAGCTGTTCAATTTACCCTCCTGAAAGGAGCTGAGGGATTCGGGACTTCTCCATCTTTCCGCAGGAGACCTGCCAGTAGATTTCAACTCTTTGACCACAAGGGAGTAGAACCCACGGCGAGGATCGTTCCGACGATGTTTCTCACCATCTTGTATAGGGCGCTGGGCAAACAACATCAGCAAGGCGAGCAGCGGTGGAGGCGTTGCCATACCCATCCAGCTCGAAGTCGAGCCTTACGTTTCCCTCTCCCTCAAATACAACGCCGACCTGGATGCCCTGTTAGTGTCGGGACTTGACGGGAGGGAGGGGTAAAGGCTTTACCCTGTATATGGTTCTGACTGTATCCATTGTCTGCACACAAACGCTGTGCGTCAGGCAGGAACTCACCGTCACGACGTCAACAAGTACCGAGTTATCCCCCCTCGTGTTCGAGAATGCGGAGAAATCGTGTGTCCCCTGAACGATGCCGTTCAAACACGCTCAAGGAACAACGCACAAGAGCGAAAACCTCGAACATGGCTGCGACCTCCCGCAGCAGATCAAGGTCTACATTTCTGTATTCGTGATGTCGGCTATGCCTTGTGATCGGGTCTTGCACTTTCCCGATGAAGATCCGGTATGAGTACAGCTGAGGGTACAGGCTCACAGGGGGGATGCAAGATTCCTGTCTACCTTCTTCCGCGCGCTGTAGATCGCATGCCACTTACGGGTTTCGTTGAGGTGCGGGACAAAGTCTAGCTGATCAGAGCGACTCAGTGATGGCCAAGACGGCGAGCTCACTCACATCCTGCACGTGCTCGAGGCCGCAGATCTTCACGTCTAGCGGGAGCATCAGGTTCATGCCGTGCTGGAACTTCTGCAAGTCCGTGATGTTCTCCGAGGAGTCGAAGTGTACCACCTGCGAGACTGGATGAGCAACAATGCCGCAAGGAACCCCGCCTCTACTTGTCCTCTTGAGTGAACTCCGCTGTCAGTCCTCCCAGCCCCCACCACTCGAGTCCTTCGCTGGAGCTTCCGGCTAAAGGACATACAGAAATGATGAGAGTTGGAGGGAGGGAGGGAGGGACGGACGGACGGACGGACGGACGGACGGACCGACCGACCGAGGGACGGAGGGATGGAGGGCGGCGGCAGTGGGGGGGGAGGGGAAAGAGGGAGAGAAGCAATCAAGCAGGACATCTCCACCTCAAGACAGTTTCCAGAAGTCCTTGGATCGAAGGCTGATAATGCTGCAGCTGAAAACCGTTGTAGTTGGTCCCGTCGTACATGACATTACACCTTGAGCATGTGAGCAAAGGTCGTTGCGCTGCGTCTCAGCCCTCGGATGTACCGATATCTAAAGGTCTTGTCTAGATCAGAATCATCGCTGGCAGTGGCATTGTTGCCCATGTTCGCAGCGTTGAGGCTGTCTTGGAATCTCTCCTGGTGCTCAAAATGTGAGGATCGTGTTGTATGTCTCAAGGGATTCACCTGGCCAGTCATGCTGTCCTGTTCAAGAACGCCGATCCCCGTGGTGTATACCACCACCCGCTTGTTGTGCTTTGATCTTGACATCGTGGTGGTGCTTGCTCGCCGTACACACAGCTCCCTGCTTCTCAGGATTTTCTGGGAAACCACGGCAGACCGAAGTTGGGTGATGCTACGAGCATTGACGCGCAGGAATGGCAATGGAGAGCTACCTACAGTACCATCGTGATTAGTTCAAGACAGAGCTTTCAATCAGAGTTTACTTCCATGAGGAACGAGGAAGGCGAGTGTTCGATGACCAGTTGATGGAGTGTCAAGCAGAAGGCTATGACACAGACTTGAGCTGCTCTTGCTGCAAGCATTTGTCTGCATGAAACAGAGCAGACATAGTAGCATCCAACTCAAACCTCCTCCTCCTCCTCCTCCTCCTCCTCCTCCTCCTCCTCCTCCTCTCGCACTAAGCTTGGCCCCCATTCTCTCCAATCAGTCCTATCATCCAACCCGCCTCAGTGCTCAGAAGGCAGAGAAAAACCAATTATGAAAATGATTGCTGTCTTAGTCGAGACGGGCTTGAGGGTGGGGGGTGGGGGGGGATCACGATTATTTAGTTGGGGTGGGGGTATTTGATAACGGGGTATGATTACTGTAAATTAATGATATAGACTGGGGTATACAAGAACAAACAAGGGGTAGGGGGTGGGATCTGTTGGTCGAAAGTCATATTAGCGGGAATTGGCGGGAGGGGAAGGGCAAACAGCGCGCGATGGGTGAGTGAGAGGAGGAGGAGGAGGAGGAGGAGGAGGAGGAGGAGGAGGAGGAAGAGCACAGGAGCAGGTATCAGACTGAGCAAGAAGCGGAAAGGGGGAGAGTGACTAACAGCAAGCAAGTGAACAAGAGCATGCGAAAAACTAGGCAGTTGCCAAAGAACGAACAAGTGAATCTTTGAAATGGTCAAGGTTCACCTGACATGTTGGGGCTGGACCATGGAGTGTTGTAACTCATACGCCACCTGCCTGTCTTTGCAACATCTTTTCTTTCCCCTTCTTCTACTCACCAATGCTCTTCACCTGCTTCTGGATATCAAGCCTAGATGAGCCTGGCCAGGAGATGGCATTGACGTAAAGTAGCGACAGGGATGAGCTGTTTGCAGTTTTAGCATGGAATAGGAGGCTACACTGGTTGCAGTGATTAAAATAGACAGATAGGAATCAGTAGGCAAGAAGAAGGGCAAGAAAGTGCTCGAAGAATGTAGTTGAACAGCAGGATGAGCTGAATGTTGAGACTGATAATCTGCTGCAGATTACGGTGATATCGGCAGCTATGGAGGAGGAGGTTTCATCGCCTCTCAGTCAGGAGGCGGAGGCGGCGGATCGGGAAAGAAGAGCAAGTAATTTCAATGTACCTCCCCAGACCTGTTTGAGTGACACACGTTGCCGCAGTGCGGAGAAGGGAATGCTTCCCGTGTCGATCAAGCAAGTCATGAATGCGCCGCAAGACTCGCAGGACGAGGACATCAAGATTGACGGGAGAGACACCAAGCAAGTCACCATCATCGCCTACATCGTGGACGTGAAAGAGACCAGCACAAGCGTGACCTTCTCGCTCGAGGACGGGACAGGCAACATCGACGCCATCATGTGGATTGATCAGGTGGCCTCGTTGCTGTCAGGCTCTGGGAGATCTGCTGACTCGACCTGCAGGATGAGAGCGAGTTCATGGTTCGCTCTCGTGCCGAGTGGGTGGTGGGGACGTACGTGCGGGTGGTGGGTCAAGTCAGGTCGCACAACGGCAAGAGGAGCATGGTTGCCTTCCACCTGCGCACTGTGACAGACTTCAACGAGCTCACTTACCATCTCTTCGACACCATTCACGCCCACCTGTACAATACCCGAGGACCTCTCGCCGACTCGAAGCCGCAGACTGGCTTCCCCAGCTCGAGCTTCCAGTCCCCCGGCAAGCCCAGCATGGGCCCTGGCTTCACATCTCCCAGCCAGCCCGGAGGTGCTGGGGCTGGCAGAGTGGACAGCTCTCGTCCTGCTGGAGGCCCCGTGACGGACATGCGGGAGGCCGTGCACAAGGCGTTCATCGACTTCGGAGCGACGGGAGACCTGACGGGGCTGTCCATCGACAACTGCGTGCAGCAGGTCTCGCGGGTGATGGGGAGGAGCGTCTCCCGGGCAGAGGTCTCGTCCCACATCGAGAACCTTGCGCTGGACGGCCACATCTACTCTACCATCGATGAGGAGCACTTCTACCCCTCGTGAAGTAATCATGCTCCTCCCGTCTGTCACTTAGTAGAGCAGCCCCTAGCACGAGCTGCTCATCGTTGTTGTGGAATTCTGTTGTACATCTCCGCAAGATTTCTAGTCATCTACTTCCAAGGCCGCAAACATGCCCCTGCTAGTCGCACAGTCTGCTTCCTCCTCTGAGGCGCCACCTTCTCCATCGCTCGATGATCCCTGCTCGGCACCCTGGTCTTGCCCTCCCTCCTCCTCCTCCTCCTCCTCCTCGCTCTCGCTCTCGCTGAGAAAATCCTTTCCTCCCTTGCTGGTGTCCACTCCCTGGTGGCCGTCCAACAAACTTCTCATCCACTGCATGCCCTCGCACTGTGACTTGATCTCCCTGTAGTCTTGCGCGCTCAGCCCGGGAGGCAGAAAACTCAAGACGATCTGCGAGAATGGAAAGAGTGAGGAGGAGGAGGAGGAGGAGGAGGAGGAGAATCTAAGAATGTCATGGGTTGTCACCTTGTGGCCATTGAGCGTGTTCCTGCCAGTGCGATCAGAGTCATAAAATCTCCATCTCCCGTCCCCTCCTACCTCAACAGCAAGTTGGCTGCTCTGTGAGCTTCAGGCTTTCCCCCCTGCCAAGAGACCGAGGGCGTGAAAAAGTGAAGGAGGAAGAGGGGGAGGTGCCAAGACAGGAAGGAGGATGAGGATGTACGGAGAAAGAAGCCTGAAGGACCCTATGGAAATCACGAAGAGCACCAGGGAGACAAAATGAGGAGAACGAGGCGAGTAAACGTGAAGGAAGGATGCTTTTGATAAGGTAGGAGACGAGCAGGAGGAGCAGGAGCAGGAGTGGCTAGCTCAGACGGGCTCGACCTTAGTGAAGTAGGAGTGCTTCCTTGCGAAAGCCTCACACAGGCCAAAGGGCGACCACTGTCAGTCATTCATCAGGTCGTGCTTGGGCGGTGAGGGAAGGGGGGGAGGAGAGGACAACGTCGCACCTCCACCTCATCCTCGCGGTAGGCATCCAGCGCGTAGACCTGAACAGAAATGACGCCATGCGCATGGTTTAAGAGGAAGGGAGCGAGGGACGAGGGACGAGGGACGAGGGACGAGGGACGAGGGACGAGGGACGAGGGACGAGGGACGAGGGACGAGGGACGAAGGACGAGGGACGAGGGACGAGGGACGAGGGACGAGGGACGAGGGACGAGGGACGAGGGACGAGGGACGAGGGACGAGGAACGAGGGACGAGGGACGAGGGACGAGAGCCCTCGAAGGAGGAAGGAGGAAGGAGGTAGAGACGAAGGGAAAAGGGAGCGAGAAACGTGACGAGAAGAGGGGAGAAGGAGCAAGTAAGAGAGCCAGAGGGTCACCTCGGAGAGAGGAGGATCACACTTCTCGGCGATGAATCGAATGATGCTGTAAGGTTCTCTGACCTGTGCGATCCTGTAGGACCCGAAGATGACCTTGCCTACTGGTCAGCTCTCCTGCTCGTTTCCGTCTTCCGCTGTATGTCCATTCCTGTACTGTACTTCTCTCCTCCTGCCTACTGCCTACTGCCTCCTGCCTCCTGCCTCCTGCCTCCTGCCTCCTGCCTCCTGCCTCCTGCCTCCTGCCTCCTGCCTCCTGCCTTCTGCCTCCTGCCTCCTGCCTCCTGCCTCCTGCCTCCTGCCTCCTGCCTCCTGCCTTCTTCCCAGCTCCTCCCTACTACACCTGCAAAGTTCGGGGGATCTTGAGCTTCGGGCAAACAACTCCCGGGGAGTCGCAGAAGCAAACTCTCTTGGTGCTGCTCGAGAAACTTCAGACAGAGGGAGGGTAGCAGGAGCAGCGACAGGAAGAGAGTTTGAAAGTGCTTCGTGTGCCCCGGCGTGGACGAGGAGGAGACAACCTTCTTCCCGAAGATGCTGTTGATCACCTAGAGCAGACGATCTCAGGCGAGGAAGAGGACACGATGGTCGGAGGGCTATCTCGGGGACTCCGCACTCTGATCCCCCACTCCCTCATTCCGTCTATCGAGCGCACTCCCTCCCTTGCTCTCGGCCGCCCAACAGTTCCTCCTCTTCTCCTCCTCCACCGATCCCCTCCCCTCTTCTCGTTTCTCCTCATACCGACGACTTGCCCATGTTCGGGTCGCCGACTAAAGTGATCGTCAGCACGTCCGTGTGGTCTCCGTCCTCGTTCCCGCTGAAGTATCTCGATGCAGACACGCGCGTCCCCTCCCGCTCCACCTGGCAGGACTTGATGGCATCCAGCAACCTCGGAACACTGAGAACGTCTGTCAGATCCCTGTAAACGACTCCCTCCGTCCCTCC